TCTTTGAGTTTATAAACCGGCGGTGCTCGATGAAGACACTCGTCCACTGTGAACAGCTCGTGCGTGAAACTCTGTTCATATTTTTTATCAAAAACACCTCTGAGTTAAACTTCATTTTCTTTGCAGGCTTCGGTGCGGTGGTCCCGTAAAGGTTGCGAAACACTTGCCATTGATTTTCCGTGTTAACTTCAAAGGGGGCCATTTTGATAGAAGTGTGGTAGCTATGATTATAACCTTTCACCAAATCTTGAATCACATCCATGTAGCGATGGGTGTTTTTGGCTGTGAAATATCTCCACATTCTACCTTTTAGAGTCCTGTTAAATCTCTCCACAACGCTGGCCTTTACGCTGCTGGCTGTGGCAAAATGCACAATTTCGTGTTTCTTCATGAGGGCTTCAAATTTCTTATTAAAAAATTCTTTACCGGAATCCGTTTGCAATTTTTTAGGGACACCGCTGTCTTTCATAACTTAAGCAAAAGCTTCTGTAACATCTTTTCCTGATTTGTTTTTCAGGGCTCGTACATAGGCTTTCTTTGAAAATACATCTATGACGGTTAATAGGTAATTAAAGCCGTCGTTTGATTTTGACAAGGCCTGCATGTCGCATAAGTCAGCTTGAAACTGTTTTAGCGGCCCTGAGACAAAAACCTTACTTCTCGGAAAATGAACTCTTGCAGGTTTGTGAAGTGTATAGGCGTCTTGTTCTGAGAGAAAATCGCGAGCCTTATCCGATGAAACTTTCTCCCCAATATCTTGTTGTAAACCGGTTCTAAACCTTTCCACACCACCGTAACTACCCTGATGTTCTGGTGTAAAATAAACCTTTTTCATTACCTCCTCCATCTCTGATGAATGGTTGGCAAAAATGATGCATATTTGTTTTCATTAGTTCTTTTTATTTCATAAAATCACACAATCTAATCAGAACTAAAATCTAATGACGCTACCGTCAGAAATAAAATCTAATCATACTGTAAAAAACAGCAGTCATCAAATATAATGAATATAATCACACAGTCTAATCATACTGTAAAAAACAGCAGTCGTCAAATATAATGAATAAAATCACACAGTCTAATCATACTGTCGTCAAATATAATCTAAACACTAGTCAGAACTAAAAACTAATCACACTGTCGTCAAATATAATAATAAAGTTGTAGAAGAGACCCTCCGCAGCTTGCTCACTCCATCACCACCCCGGACAGCGCGTCCAGGTCAGCTTTGACAAGGCGATCGTACACCGGAAAAATGTCTTTGTGAATGGGCATCACAGCCCTGAATCTGTGCAGCTGCGTCACAGCCATGGTGAACAGAATCTCAGTGTCCAGAGGCTGGAAGCCGTGCAGACTGAGAAAACTTTGAAGAGCCGGAATCAGTTTAGGTGTTAAAACCCTGCGAATAATGTCCGTAAAGTGAAAATCGTAAAATTATTCATTTTCAGCTACGTAAAGACATTCGTGTTGCCGTTGACTGGGGTGATCGATCTTGCATCCGTGGCAGATGGTTGGTAAGTGAGCTTTGATCGCCATGTTGACCAAGTGAAGAAGACCCATTTTCACACGGTCTACTTTGTCTTCTGAAAACACCCAGTCAGGCAGACGGTGAGGCTCCTCATCGGTGCTCTGGATGTCGAGGGGTTGCACATCCTCCTCCTCCTCATGACCTGGCGGTGGCTCAGGGTTTGATGTCACCAAAGGTGGATCAGCCCCGTCGACCCAGGGCCTGAATGGTACGTTCTCCGGAACCTCCATGATGGTGGGGAGTCGTGATAGGTTATCCTCTGGAAAACACGGTGGCGCCGATGCGGGCCTCGGACTGCCGTTGTATCTCGGCGGTGGTGGTGATGGTAGCGATCTGGACCTCGGACTGGTGTTGTATCTCGGTGGTGATGAATCCGTTAGTACCCAGCTCGGTGGTGGGCTCCAAAGGTCTTTAAGGGTCGTCTGATTGTAGAACCCCGTCATGCTGATGCCTTATATCGTCTGGATGAAATGGTTTCTAACTGTAAGCTCTTTATAACTAGTGCTGGGTGGGGGGGCGTGGTATGATGCGACATCCTCCTCCTCCTAAGGCAGGTCTTAGAACTCCAGCTTTTTTCGCACTGTCAGAATGTCGTTCCAATAGCGGCTGGTACGAAAAAGTGAAGTAATACGATCCTCCACTTCATTTATTTTTTCACACCAGGCTTCGAAAGGTACAACCTGTAGAAGGCGGTAAATTCTGCATACAGAATGCACATTCTCCAGCACAAAAAAGAGCTCAAATCCTCTCGCACGGACCGAGGCCTTGAACATCCACTCTCCATCAGCATCCTCTTCCCCCTCCCATGAAGCGCTGAATGCTGTCACAGCGTTCTGGATTTCATCCAACGTTGGAAGAGCTTGCGGCCCGCTGCGATTGACTGGCGGACGAGGTCTCTCATCATCATCTCTGTGCACCTTGCGTGGAACAGCCAGCCTGAGCACAGCCCAGTCGTTGTAGGAGAGAACCGCTGGTGAGTTTGATAAATAGGATTTAAGAGGTTCCCCCTCAGCCACATCTTGGATTAAACACAGTTCCTTAGTGTCGTAGCTGAACCGGTACCCAAAACTACCGGTATAGCCGTAAGGCTCCAACTGCCATATTTGCTCCAAGATCTCTTTACCGCCGAAAGGAGGAACCTGCACTCTGCAAATGTAGAATGTAGATTTGCGGGGAGCTCCAATTCCAGCCGGCATCTGATGTATAGCGATGGATTTTTCACAAAGCATGGTTTGTGACAGCGGCGTATCCACGCTCTCTTCTTTCACTTTTTGAGTTGAAGTTGAAGCGTCGGATGTAGACACCTCTTCCTCGTGGCTTGGTGCTTCATGCATCTCCTCGTGGTTCATCATTTTTTCTTAGAGCTCGGCTTTTCAGCATTCGGACACGATCTGAGCTTTTAAAGAGTTATCCACTATAGGATTACACTCAGAAGGGAGGGGGCTGTGAGAACCACTGGGGTAACACAATAAGAAACTTCACGCGCCATTACACACATTAGCCTATGACGTGGGGGATCATGGACATCTGGACGCTCAACAATACGCCATTGATGATGCGGCGTGGGGGGTCTAGGCCATCTGGACGATCAACAATACACATGTCCATTTGATTAATGATACGGAAGGGGGGGCATGGATTGAACAATACACCTGTCCATTTGATTAATGATAGGAAAGGGGGGCAAGGTCAAGGGTCAAAATGAACAATAGGACTGAAAGGTCAAAAAGGTCAAAGAACAATAGACCTGTCAAAATGTTTGACGAAAGGTATCTTATTATGTCTCTCTATGGATGAGACGGTGAATGGATGACGTGTCATGTAAATCAGAACCCGCAAATCCGAAGAAGCGATTGGTTCTGACGGGAACTGAAGATGTTGGTTTGGAATAAGCTTGGGTAGTTTCAGAACCGCATGAGACACCATCAAGTCATGCCTACCTGTCTGGTGGAAGTCCCCTGTGAGATCAGGAATGCCGAGGTCCAACCGGACCCTTTCTAGACACCGAGCTGGTAGAAGCACCGTGGTTCCGACCAGACCCATCTCGAGTTACCTCCGGCACACAACTCTTTTCTTGGCGTCTGTTCAGACCCAGCCTGGGTCAGTGGAGCTTTTATTCTGAATGGAGCTGTTATCGTTGCTTGTTGTTAGAGCAACTGGATTTTCTCAGCTTGTCGTGGTTCTTTTGGTTGGAGAGTTAAAGGTCGGATTGGCCACTACGACGCTTGCTCTGGAACGCTTTGAACTGCGTTAGAGCTGACGTGACATCTGTTTTATACCTCGGATGTTATGGTTTATTGTCGAATGAAAATTACCAAACACCGTCAGAAGCATGCCTCCGTCAGACCTGTAGAATTCTGATTGGATCAGTGAAATAATTTGTTATGTCTTTTAACACTACGTGAAATGAGTCCTGTTGGAACATTTTAAAGTTACATTACTTCATTTCTAAGATCATAATAAAATAATTAATATTTTAATTTCACAGGTCGGTGACATCTTATTATACTGACTAACACTTTGATGGATTAGCTTCATTAAGAGTTCTTTGATTAATTAAAAGAAAATAGTTCTTTCTTCTTTCTTCTGTCTTCATGCTGGAATGTAAACAGTTTAGAAACGAATGTATGACCTTGAGGCTGTTTCATGCGCACTGAAACTGTGTCAAATGGAAACGGCTGTTAGGGTAGAAATGGCTCCTTCATCACGTTACACTTATCAAACTTTTACTCATCTCTTATGTGCTTGGAGTGAATTTACTATATTTTTAACTTTCCATTCATTAACAGGGTTTCCTATATTTGAACCCAAAAAAGAGAACATCATCTCTGGTTCTTTACTTTTAACCTAGATAAGTCACTAGATCTACTCATAAACCAAACTCCGTTCTCATAAAGGGAGTTTTGGTCTAGGATAACAAAACTTCCCCCCTTCTAGAGACCCCGACCCTGGACGAGTTACGAGTGAAAGCAGCATCGCCTGGAGCTGGTGTGACCCGTCTACAGGGCTTTGCATCCGTATCCCAGGTTACCCTCGCCTCGGCCACAGACGAGTGGAGTCCAGGACCAGGAGAGTGTGGAGAAGATTTTTCCTTGGCCAACACCTTTCCCTGGACTCATATCCGAGAGGTAAGTCCAGAGGGCAGTGCCCACTTTCAGCTATAAAGTCTGGCATTGTTGCTTGCGCAGTTGCAAAAGACTTGCAAGCTGAAGCTTTGCTTGATTAAATGTATTTAGTCAAGGGGTTGCCACCTGTTGGATCACAAATAAATGCATTAAATGCGATGCGCCGATCGTTGCTCTGACTTTCCAGTTAAAATTATAAAGAGGATCTGACGGAAATGGAATAAGCAAGCAAAGTAGAAAGGCAGAGGTGAAGCTTTAGAAGAGAAACCTTTAATCATAGAGGGAGATGTCATGACCTGAGGAAGGTGTTTAACCCATGACATGCAGAATCGACTCGACACCTCTGGTTAAGTTAAAGTTCTTTATTTTAAAATGGCAACAAAAGTTGCACTGGGAAGTCCAGTGGAGGGTGTGCTGTACGGTGTTTGTCCATATAGTAATCCGTGATGTGCGAGGAAGGTGGGGAGCCAAGGTGAGCACCGGTGGAGGATGGGCTGGCCGAGGTGGGTGAGGCAGCGGAGAGAATCCAGGCAGGGACAGTCGAGGAGGATGGGACGTGGTTCAGGTGATCCAGGGTTCGAGCGGCGAGGATAATGAATGAAGTGGAGTTGTCCTGAACAGAGCAAACAAACAGCGGTTCAAAGGATAATCCAAAAACATAATCCAAGACAATCCGAAGTTCTAAATCCAATTAATACAAAAACAAGTCAAATGAGCAAACAAACACGAGTGGCTGGGGCTACCTAAACTGGAGCAATCATCCGGCGTAGAGTGGTGTCTCCATCCTGCGTTTATACCGGACTTCCTGATTGGAGATTCAGTGCAGCTGCTGTCCCCTATGCTCCTCACCTGTGGGAAATTGACTCGAAGGTGGTTAGTGGGAGAGGAGCACTCACCTCGGCTTGTGAACATGACACCGCCCCCCTCAACGGACGCCCCCTGGCATCCCAGCAATGGGTCTGGAAGCCTCAAAGTCAGTGATGAGGGAGGGGTCTTCAATAAAGGACCGAGGTATCCATGACCGCTCCTCCGGGCCATACCCCTCCCAATCAACCAGGCACTGCACCCACCGTCCTCGGGGGCACGAGTCGAGGATCCGCCGAACCTTGTAGACCAGCCCCCCCTTGTAGAGCTGGGCAGGAGGAGGCAGAGCCGGTACCGGACACAGGGGGCTGGAGACCACGGGCTTGACCAGAGATACATGGAACACGGGGTGGATCCGAAGAGATCGTGGGAGGGCGAGGCGTACGGTCGCGGGACTCGGAACAGCCACCACCCTGAATGGACCAAGGTACCTAGGAGCGAGTTTCTTCGAGTTTGCCTTGAGAGGTATATCCTTGGACGACAGCCAGACCATTTACCCTGGGCAGTAGGTCGGCGCTGGACGACGATGCAGATCCGCCAGTAGCTGGTTCCTTTCGGCGGTACGCTGGAGAGCGGATCTCGTGGCCGCCCATGCACGGCGGGCCCGACGAAGAAACTGAGGCGTGGTGGTAGTGGGACCTGTTTGGAGCAGGAACAAGGAAGTCTGACACCCAAGAGAGGCCTCAAACGGGGACTGACCTGTGGCGGAGGAGATGTGGCTATTGTGGGCGTACTCCACCCAGGCGAGATCGTCACTCCAGGCAGAGGGGTTGGTAGCACACACACACACAGCGTAGCATGGTGCCCAGCTCCTGATTCATGCGCTCGCATTGGCCATTGGTTTGGGGGTGGAATCCCAAGGTTAAGGCGACCCGGGCCCCCAGGGCGGTGGCGAACTCCTTTCAGACCTTGGACACAAACTGGGGGCCGCGATCCGAGAGGATCTCCGTCGGGATACCATAGAGCCGGAACACATACTTGATCAGGAGCTGGGCGGTCACAACGGAGGTAGGTAGTGCCTTTAAAGGAACAAGGTGACAGGTCTTGGAGAACCTGTCTACAACGGTTAGTACAGTGTTAAATCCATGGGAGGGAGGTAAGCCACAAACAAAGTCTATAGCGATGTGTGACCAAGGACGAGACGGTACAGGTAGGGAACAAAGCAATCCAGCTGGTGATTGGTTGGTACCTTTTTGTTGGGCACACACGTGGCATGCAGACACGTACTTCTTGACATCTTTGTAGATGGAGGGCCACCAGAAGGAGCACTTTATTAGGGCCAAGTTACGTCCCACCCCAGGGTGAATGGAGAATTTCCCAGCGTGAGCCCAGTGGATAATTTTCCCTCGTAGACCCTGGGGAACAAACAGTTTATTGGGTGATCCATTACCTGGACCAGGGTCATCCTTGATGGCCTCCAGAACCTGGTCCCTGATCGCCCAAGTCACCCCTGCCACAATGCAGGAAGGAGGTAGGATGGTACCAGGCGCGGATTCATCCTCCGAAGCATACTGGCAGGAAAGAGCGTCGGGCTTTGTGTTCTTTGACCCTGGCCGGTAAGACAATACAAAGTTAAAACATGAGAAAAACAGAGACCAACGGTATTGCCGAGGATTAAGTCTCTTAGCCTCCTTGAGGTAAATCAGGTTCTTGTGGTCAGTCCAAATAATAAACGGGTGTTCAGCCCCCTCCAACCAGTGCCTCCACTCTTCTAGAGCCAGTTTAACGGTCAGTAACTCCGGGTCTCCCACGTCATACCTGCTCTCGGTGGGTGTCAATCACCGTGAGACGAAGGCACAAGGGTGGAGCTTGTGGTCTGCAGGGGATACCTGAGAGAGAACTGCTCCTACCCCCATATCCGAGGCATCCACCTCCATGGTGAACTGCTGCTTGGGGTCAGGCCTGGAGAGTACCGGGGCCTCAGTGAACCTTGTCTTGAGCGCCCGGAACGCTGCCTCAGCTTCTGAGGACCAAAAGAAAGGTTTAGTGATCGAAGTGAGGGCCGTTAGTGGAGCTGCAGTTTGGCTATAGTTGCAGATGAACCGTCTATAAAAGTTGGTGAAGCCTAGAAACCGCTGCAGCTGTTTTCTGGTAGTAGGTGTGGGACACTCCGTCACCGCTTGTACCTTGTCAGGATCTGCCTTCAATCATCCGCTCTCTAACAGAAACCCCAAAAATTTCACAACCGACACATGAAATTCACATTTCTCTGCTTTTACAAACAGTCTGTTCTCCAAAAGCTGTTGGAGCACGGCTCAGACATGCTTTTGGTACTGGGTGACAGACCTGTAAAAAATTAAAATGTCATCCAGGTAGACAGTTACAAAGTCGTTTATATAGTCACCCAGTACCGAGTTCACCAGTCTCTAGAACTCCACCGGGGCATTGGTGAGCCCAAAAGGCATCACAAGGTATTCGTAGTGCCCCAGGGGTGTCTTGAAAGCCGCCTTCCACTCGTCCCGTTGGCGAATCCTTACCAAGTGATAAGCGTTTCGAAGATCCTGTCATGGTCTGCGTCAGCCCCTTCCTTTTTTGTGCCTCCTGGTGTCCTCCTTCCCTCTCTAGATTCCCTCTTGTGTCCCTTTGTTCCCCAACTCCTCTTGTGCTCCACTCCAGGTTCCCCCCTTGTGCTCTCTTAGCGCCCTCATGTGTCCTTGTCTGCATCCCTGTTATGTGTCTTATGTTGTAGCTCTTTGGCGCCCTCATGTGTCCTTTTTCTGCGTGTCAGTTTAGTGTCTTATGTTATCTTTTCTACTCTTTCCTCCCAGGTCAGCTCCAGCCTCGTTGTCCCCAGCTCAGTGTGTGTGGGTGTATGTGCTATGTCCTCCTCCAGCTAGTTTGTGTGAGTCCTTCCCTCTGTCTTTAGGTAATTGTTGTTTAGTTTCGTGTTTAGGTATTTGCCCTCCTCTGTTTCTGTTTTCCCCATTGAGTTGATTAGTGTCACCTGCCTTCCCTCCAGCCCTCACTCCACACACCTGCTTCCTGTTTCCTTAATTTGTCTCCCAGTCTATTTAAGCCCGGTATTGTCTCTGTCTTGTGTCGGTCCATTAATGTTTGTTGATTCTGTCAGTTTAGTCCCTCTGTGTTTAACCAGAGTTTCTTGATCCCCAGATAATAATATGCTTTTTGACCTTTTGGATTTTTGGCTTTTTGGATTTCGACTCCCAGTTTGGATTACCTTGGTTTTTGGCTCACCCACAAAATAAAGACTTTTTATTTAAAATCTTCATCCCTGCCTCCGTGTCATCCTGGGTACTGCATTTTGGGTCCACACCACCCGTATCGCGACAGAATGGACCGACCAACCAGGACCCAGCGGACCCGGATGTACCCTTTTCAAGGCGACCCGGACTCATGTAAGACTTTTTTTCTGGATTTTGTTATGTTCCATGACACGGATATGCCGGACATCGATCTAGTGATCAATATGGTGTTTCTCCTAAGGGGAAGAGCCCTGCAGTGGGCCAGCCTATATTTTCAAAGAAACCCTATTGAACAATTAGTTTTTTGGGACTTCGCTGAAGATCTGCAGGACGCCTGTAGCAGCCCACAGTTTCTCTCCTTATCTGTGGATTATAAGACATCAGCAAGCGCTGTTTTTAGAGCTGCTTACTCGGCTTTTTCTTCAAAGGGGTCCACTACCACACCCTCACCAGGTTCTGACAGCGCCACCACTTCCGCTCCGGTGGGCTGTGTCATCTCCTCTGTACCTGTTGACGTCACCTCCCCGTCTCAGACCCTCAGAACCGGATTCATTTCATTTTCCCCTATGCATGTTGAAGCCTCCTCGGCTTCTCAGATGACTCACACCGCCACACCCTCACCAGATCCTGACAGCGCCACCACTTACTCTCCGGTGGGCTGTCATTCCTCCTCGGTTCCTGCCAGCGTCATCTCCATGCCTCAGAGCAAGAAAGTCCCACGCCGCCGCCGCCGCAACTATCGTGCTCTAGTGGTGGTCCCGGTGGACGCATCGCACCTCGCCTCAGTGGTGATCCCGGTGGACGCATCGCACCTCGCCTCAGTGGTGGTCCCGGTGGACGCATCGCACCTCTCCTCAGCGGTGGTCCAAGGGGACGCATCGCACCTCTCCTCAGCGGTGGTCCAAGGGGACGCATCGCACCTCTCCTCAGCGGTGGTCCAAGGGGACGCATCGCACCTCGTCTCAGCGGTGGTCCAGGTGGACGCATCGCAACATACCTCCGTGGTGGTCCAGGTGGACGCATCGCACCATACCTCCGTGATGGTCCAGGAGGACGCATCGCATCCTGGCTCGGCAGAGGAGGATGCACGGGCTCCGGTCCAGCCCATCCATGGGCCCCCGGGTCAGAAGTCGACGCCTCCCGTCTCGAGCTCCGAAGGAGATGTACCCGGCTCCGAAGCAGACGTACCCGGCTCGAGCCCCGAAGCAGACTCTCCCGCCTCGGGCCCCGAAGCAGACGCTCCCGCCTCGGGCCCCGAAGCAGACGCTCCCGCCTCGGGCCCCGAAGCAGACGCTCCCGCCTCGGGCCCCGAAGACGACGCTCCCGCCTCGGGCCCCGAAGACGACGCTCCCGCCTCGGGCCCCGAAGACGAAGCTCTGACGTCCCCGTCTCAAGTTTCCCCATCGCAAGTCTTCCCTCTAGTCTTTCAGTCTCAAGAGTTCCAGTCACCACAAGTTCCCCAGTCTCAAGAGTTCCAGTCACCACAAGCTCCCCAGTCTCAAGAGTTCCAGTCACCACAAGTTCCCCAGTCTCTAGAGTTCCAGTCACCACAAGTTCCCCAGTCTCTAGCGTTCCAGTCACCACAAGTTCCCCAGTTTCTAGCGTTCCAGTCACCACAAGTTCCCCAGTCTCTAGCGTTCCAGTTACCACAAGTTCCCCAGTCTCTAGCGTTCCAGTCACCACAAGTTCCCCAGTCTCTAGCCTTCCAGTCCCCACAAGTTCCCCAGTCTCTAGCCTTCCAGTCACCACAAGTTCCCCAGTCTCTAGCCTTCCAGTCACCACAAGTTCCCCAGTCTCTAGCCTTCCAGTCACCACAAGTTCCCCAGTCTCTAGCCTTCCAGTCACCCCAAGTTCCCCAGTCTCTAGCCTTCCTGTCACCCCAGTCTCCGGAGTTCCTTCCTCGTCCTCCTCCTCTAAGACCCCCTGTTCCCTGTCGCCGGCCTCCTAGGCTTCTTTGGTCCCGCCTCCTGGCTCCCCGTTGCCGGCCCCCTAGGCTTCTCCGGTCCCGCCTCCTGGTACCCTGTCATCGGTCTCCCAGGGTTTTCTGTCCCCTCCTCGCCCACCCTTTTTGGGTGGTGTTTTGTTGGTTCCCTCCTCTCCCTCCCTCTGGTTTTCTCGTGTCCTGTGTTTTGTTTTGTGCTTGTTGTTTGTTGTTCTTGTTTTGGGCATCTGGTATCCGCCCCTTGGGTGGGGGGTACTGTCATGGTCTGCGTCAGCCCCTTCCTTTTTTGTGCCTCCTGGTGTCCTCCTTCCCTCTCTAGATTCCCTCTTGTGTCCCTTTGTTCCCCAACTCCTCTTGTGCTCCACTCCAGGTTCCCCCCTTGTGCTCTCTTAGCGCCCTCATGTGTCCTTGTCTGCATCCCTGTTATGTGTCTTATGTTGTAGCTCTTTGGCGCCCTCGTGTGTCCTTTTTCTGCGTGTCAGTTTAGTGTCTTATGTTATATTTTCTACTCTTTCCTCCCAGGTCAGCTCCAGCCTCGTTGTCCCCAGCTCAGTGTGTGTGGGTGTATGTGCTATGTCCTCCTCCAGCTAGTTTGTGTGAGTCCTTCCCTCTGTCTTTAGGTAATTGTTGTTTAGTTTTGTGTTTAGGTATTTGCCCTCCTCTGTTTCTGTTTTCCCCATTGAGTTGATTAGTGTCACCTGCCTTCCCTCCAGCCCTCACTCCACACACCTGCTTCCTGTTTCCTTAATTTGTCTCCCAGTCTATTTAAGCCCGGTATTGTCTCTGTCTTGTGTCGGTCCATTAATGTTTGTTGATTCTGTCAGTTTAGTCCCTCTGTGTTTAACCAGAGTTTCTTGATCCCCAGATAATAATCTGCTTTTTGACCTTTTGGATTTTTGGCTTTTATGATTTTGACTCCCAGTTTGGATTACCTTGGTTTTTGGCTCACCCACAAAATAAAGACTTTTTATTTAAAATCTTCATCCCTGCCTCCGTGTCATCCTGGGTACTGTATTTTGGGTCCACACCACCTATATCGCGACAGATCCAACCGGGTGAAGATGGTGGCATCTTGGACGGGCTCGAAAGTGGAAGAGAGTAGTGGTAGGGGGTACTTGTCCTTGACATTAATCTGATTGAGACCCCGATAGTCAATGTAAGGGCGAAGAGACCCATCTTTCTTGGCGATGAAGAAAAACCCAGCCCCCAGGGGCGAGGTCGATGTTCTGATGGTGCAGTTCGCCAAAGCCTCCGTAATGTAGGTCCACATGCTATCTTGCTCAGGTTTTGAGAGGCTGCAAAGGCGGCTGGACGGAAGAAGGGCACCCAGTAGCAGGTTGATGCCACAATCAAAGGGGCGATGAGGAGGCAGCGTGGCAGCTCGATCCCTGCTGAACACATGTTGGAGGTCATGATATGCAGGGGGTACCTGGGAGAGATCGGGAGGCTCAGTTTGCGTCACGCCGGAGTCCTTATACCCGGAAGGTGCAGAGTTGAGGCAAGTCAGGTGACACTCTGGACTCCAGGTCTCAATTCTGCTGGCTCGCCAGTCCAAAAGCGGATTGTGTAACTTCAGTCAAGAATGACCTAGCACCAATGGATTCTACGGGGATGGGAACAAAAATAGTGAGAGCGTCTCTGTGTGGTTACCTGAGACCTGGAGCTGGAGTGGCAGGGTCCTGTGTGTGATGGTTGACACGACTCTTCCATCCAGTGAGGAAACAGATACTGGCTCGGGAAGAAGCTCAGCCGAAATCCCACTGCTCCTGGGGCTCGTAGCGTTGGTTCTGGACCTGAAGCGGAAGTTGCGGTTGAAGCTGGAGCTGGGGCTGGAGCTGAAGATGGAGCTGGAATTTGTTCGTGAACTTGTTGGATCATAGCTTCCAAATGCTAGTAGCGCTGGTTAGCGACGGCAAGCTGCTCCATGAGCACGGGAAGAGTCTGCTCCTGCTGGGACATCCTGGTAGCCAGATCGGCGAGTACTGATTTCGCGGGGTTATAGTGATAGCCGGATGATTCTGTCATGACTTGAAGAAGGTGTTTAACCCAAGACATGCAGAATCGACTCGACACCTCTGGTTAAATTAAAGAAAAGTTCTTTATTTTAAAACGAGAACAAAAGTTGCACTGGGAAGTCCAGTGGAGGGTGTGCCGTATGGTGTTTATCCATATAGCAATCCGTGATGTGCGAGGAAGGTGGGGAACCAAGGTGAGCACCGGTGGAGGATGGGCTGGCTGAGGTGGGTGAAGCAACGGAGAGAATCCAGGCAGGGACAGTGGAGGAGGATGGGACGTGGTTCAGGTGATCCGGGGTTTGCGCGATGAGGATAATAAATGAAGTGGAGTTGTCCTGAACAGAGTAAATAACAGGGGTTCAAAGGATAATCCAAAAATGTAATCCAAGACAGTCCGAAGTTCTAAATCCAATTAATCCAAAAACAAGTCAAGCGAGCAAACGAGCAAACAAACACGAGTGGCTGGGGCTACCTAAACTGGAGCAATCATCCGGCGTAGAGTGGTGTCTCCATCCTCCCTTTATTCCCGACTTCCTGATTGGAGATTCAGTGCAGCTGCTGCCCTCTATGCTCCTCACCTCTGGGAAATTGAGTCGAAGGTGGTTAGTGGGAGAGGAGCACTCACATCGGCTCGTGAACATGACAGGAGATTAATAACCTCTCTAAAAGTTAACCTACTTCTTTCACCACAGTTTCTGCTCGTTAAACAACAACAGACAGCTACAGCTTATAAACTTGACTCTCCCATATTCCAGTTAGAGCTGACAAAGCTCTTCAGATTAAAAGCCAAACTTCTTCAAGGAACCAAAGAAGTCTAGTTGCCTTCATTTGAACCCCTTTGGAGTACCATGACCTGGATGACTGACATCCTTCAACATCAAATTGAAACATTAGCTTCTATTTTGGGTTAACGTATGAAAGTCTGCTCTGCAGCAGCCTCTTCATCAGCTCACCACAACTCATGTTAATGCAGAAGCATTTGTTATTCCAGTCCCTGTGGCAGCGGATTGCGGATTCAGCCAGAACATAAAACAGCAAAATGTCTGTCTGAGGCAAAGTGAACCTCACGGCTGTAGATGTTTCAGTTTTTCTGGAGACATATGATTACGCACAAGCAGATGACCAGTTCAGGTTTTCCTGGATCAGAAGGATGGTGAGAGAGCGTTCTGGTCTCAAGTGGAAGCATTACATTGCATTGTTTACCGGGGCACTTTAAATATCCATGACAGTTAAATTAAAACAGAAATGTAATGGTGTTGAATGTTAATTATTATTATTTAAAAAAAAAAGTAATGGAAAGAAGCTTATCATGACGTGTTCTTAACCCTGCGATCAGAACGATGATGAAGCTCTAGCTTTTATATATATAAATATTTATATATATATATATATATATATATATATATATATATATATATATATATGCATATATTTATATATGTGTGTGTGTGTATCAGAAATACTGTTAATTTAAATTTTAAATTTACTTCTGTTTCATTTCATTGTATGATGGCCTGTGTAAGGAAAATAATGTTTAATCACCTATGTGACAATCATATATTCATTTTTATGGTTAATCATCAGTATGCTTTGTGAAAATAAGGTTTGATCACACATGTATTTATATGCTTAGAATTAATCACCTGTATGTTAATCCCCATATTTATCATTTCAATGTTTGGGTGTTACTCACGTCCCTTTGAACTGAATGATGCATATACCAAATGGATGACTCACCTGTGACTGGTGCAGCCTAGCACTGAGTTAGACCTATATCTGATTTATGCAGGCTGATACTGCTAGAAGTTTCAGCTTGTGCTGAAGGAGATTCTCAACAGGCGAAGGCCAGGTGCAGACTAGACCATCTAAAAGCTGTTCAAAGGGAAAAAGCCAGGGCGTAGGTCATCACAGCCTTAGCAAAGGAAGATAGGGTAGGAAGCAGATGGGGCAATGTGTCTCCCATCTTATCTGGAGGAGGGAGTGAAAGCAGAGAGGGATGTCAGTTACCAAGGCAACAGGTGATGGCCTTCAATTAAGTTAGGGAGGGGTCAGCATGAAACTTTGCAGCATGAGACGAAGAATCAAAAGGAGTACATCTTGTAAAATCTTCAGATTTGTCACAGGGGCTGGGGTGGCAGAATCTCTCCTAATGCATGTGGAAAATAAAGTGTGATGATTGCAACATAAGGCAACTTGTGGCTTACTTCTTGTCCCACGCCCTGGTTGTACCTGCCTTCTATAATTTTGTACATAACTGTAACAGAAATGTTGTGATTGTATCTTTTACTGCCTCTTGGCCAGGGCTTCCTCAAAAATGAGAACTTTAATCTCAATGGAACCTTCCTGGTTAAATAAAGAATATGAAAATAAGTAAATAAAATGTATTTGGATAATGAAACGTCAAAAAGGAAATTCATTTTACTTGTTTGTCAGTGCATTTGAAGAAACAACTTAAAATGTTATTTATTTAACCAGATGAGTCGATAGAGAACTCATTCTCGTTTACAACAATGATCTGGCGAAGAGGCAGCAGCAACAGACACATAATTAGCTTTAAATCAAAGAAAAACAGATGAGATTAAAACGAACAAGATTAAAATAAAACTAAAGGAAATAACAAAATTATTATAACAGGTGTAAAACTAACTTGTCTTTACTTTAACTAATTGAGGAAGATATCACATGTTATGTGTTTATTAGTCCCATTCTGAACACACAGGTGTTTTATTCTGCGCCTCCACCAGGTGGTGCCAGTACACCTTTACGCTAGTCACCGACCACCGGAAGAAGCAGAAACAGGAAGCTGCTAGTTGTTGTTCTGGAGTGTGGAGAGAATATTTGAGGCTCTGCAGTAAAAAATGTCTTCACTTCAGTCTCTGGGAGAGTTGATCAGCTAAAGCGATTAACTGCTAGTGCTGCAGAAATCTTCTCACCAGGCTGTGGAAACTTTCTTCTCCTCCTCAACGACTTGGTGGAGTTCTTTCCGGAACCAGAGAAGATATTCTGCGGTCTTCGTGACAATCGGAGCTCCAGAATCAGGCTGTGGGTGTGAAAAGCTTTTCTCTATAGACTTCCTGTCCTCTGGATCTGCTGCTGTTCCGTTGGCCGCTCTGAGAAACGCGCTCGTTTTGCTGCTTTCATCAGATTGAAGAGGTTCCCTCTATCAGACTCGCTCATCTGAGTTGGTCATGATGCAGGATCGCTGCTCGCTCTCTGATCCATCCTGCTCACACTCTCCGGAAAAGCCCCGAATCTGAATGTAACTCTGGAGGAAAAAGCGGTTAGCTCTACTCCGTGAACTCTGGTGAGCAAAGGTCCTCTTTTCCAGACTGGATCTGTCCCCAGCTGATCAGAACCAAAGCGTTGGATCTTTAATCTCCTACGTTGTTCTGAAGCAGCATCTTAATCAGCTCTCCTGCTTTGTTTCTATTGCAGCTGTTAACTAAACACGGCTAAAGAAAACCTGCTACCACTTCAGCATCATCCATCAGCTGGGACTGATTCATCGTGTGTTCTTCACCACCTGGACCCGGACAGCATGGACACAGGTACTGGTGGATGCATGAATGTATTATCATTGCATGGTGGGACATTACAGTACCTCTCCCATGAGGTGTTATCATTAAAAAAATGTCCATGGTGGTTTTCAGTCTGCTGCAGCAGCTCGGTCCGAACCTCTCTGGTTCTTTCTTCACAGAGGAGAGAAGCTCCAGAGCTTTTGAACTATTGAACTAACTTTGATTTTAACACAGCAGGACTTCAAGACGAGGAGGCAGTGATTGAATTTTACCTTTTGTTTACTAAAATTATCATACAAATGGTAAAAGACAGCTCAATTAAACCTAAATAGAATTAAAAACCTGAATTAAAAAAAAGAAATGTGCAAAACAATTAAAACACCTTGGTTAGTATGTCATTAAGTTTTTCTCTTGGAAAGATGGATCTAGTTTGTGAGTGGTTGAAATCACCCTGGCTGCTAGTTTGACGTCCACAATGAGATGAACTGTGTTTCGGGTCCTTATACTAAATGGGTTGTCTCTACCAGACTCGGTAGCTGACATGTCAGCAGGTTTGTCCTCACAACGTGGTGAAAAGAGAGCTGAGTCGGAAGGCGAAGCTCTTGATTTACCAGTTTGATGTTCCCACCCTCGTCTATGGTCACGAGCTTGGGTAGTGTCTGAAAGAACTAGATCGTGGAAACAATGTCCAAAATTAGTTTTCTCCGCAGGGTGTCTGGGCTCTCCCTTAGAGATAGGGTGAGAAAATCCATCATCTAGGAGGGGCTTGTAGTAGATCTGCTGCTCCTCCACATCGAGAGGAGCCGTTGAGGTGGCTCAGGCATCTGAATATGATGCCCAAAGGAAGACTCGACACGCTGGAGAGACTTTCTCTCGGCTGGCCAAGGAACGCTTTGGGAGACCCCCCTGTTGGAGCTGGCCCAAGTAGGTGGGGAGGGGTACGTCTAGGCCTTCCTGCTTAAGCCGGGCGTACACTGAGCGACTTTTTCACTTTTTTGAGCCGATTTTCCACTCGTGCGACAATCCACGACATCGGGGCGAGTTTTGCGCCGAGCGGTCGTGTAGTGTACAGGGGGTTACGAGAGGCGATTAACACCACGTGACCAGCTGCCGATCAGCAGTCGTGAGGTCGCACGGACTTCTGGCGTGTTTAAAATTTCACTCGTCCCCCGTGAGCGTATCGCACTGTTGAAGCGGCGCTGCGAGCAGCTGCGACCCAAAAAGTATCAGAACCGCTCATGGCGCATGCGCAATCCTGCATCAACGCCGCTCGCCCGCTATTTCCCTAATAACACACGCTGTTCGTTTTTGTTTCTACACGTATTTTTACACAAAGATTGTCAAGAAAGCGTGTTTGGCGTGTTCATGTCAAATTAAACAGATCACAAAACACAGATTTACTTTCTTTATTTTGTTTTCCTCATCCAACCCCCATAAATCCCTGTGTGTCCTCCTGCAGCACTCCCGAAGGACAACAGGCAAAACAAGACAAAAAAGTCTGACGTGTTGAGTAAAAACTGCTATTTTTAGCATATTTTTAGGTCCGACATGTTGCTACCAGACGTACAGTGTGAGCAGTCAGGTCGCATCCGAGAACTGGGTCGTGCAGTGTGAGCACATGACTCTCGAGATCTGCCCTGCGAGGAAGTCGTACAGTTTGAGCTGAAGCTGAGCGCTGCGAGTGAAAAAGTCGCACAGTGTACGCCCGGCTTTAGGCTGCTGCCCCCGCGGCCCGACCCGGATAAGCGGCTGAAAATGGACAGATGGATTGATATTCCATATTTTAATGAGGAACCCTGGGCCTGAACAGGTTGATCCCATCAACATATATACTGGACAATTCGTGTCCGTAGGCTCCAATTATAAGTTTTTGTGCCAAAATGGGAGGTGGCCACCACCGCCATTTTGACCGTGTCACAGGTTCCGTCAAGCCCAGACAATTCCAAAAAAGGGAAAAGAGGTGGAGCTGAAGGTGGGGCTGTAAGAGGCTGGGATCAAATGACGACACCCGTTGAACTTAAGCGATGTAGTCAAAGTCAGTTTAATTGTCACTTCTGCCACATGTACAGGACATACAGAGAAATGAAATTACGTTACTCTCAAACTCTCGCTAGATAGAAAATAAACATTTAGTATAAAAACAGTAACCAAGTTCAGAGAGACTGTGGGGGAAGAGTAGGGATGAGTACCGAATTCGGTACTTTTTAAGGTACCGACCGAATTCCATAGTACCGACCGAACACCGATTCACGTCATTTCAAACGGTGCCTCGTTTCGGTACTGCCAAGACAGTTGCGCAAGAGCGTTATGTCGCCGGTCCCTGCGAGCCCGTTGTAAACAGAGCAAGCATGGTAGAAAGAACGCACGCTAAAGCTTGGGTCCACTTCACTAAATGTGATGGGTAACTGGGTGATGAAACTAGCGGCAGACAACGATCTAAGTGAGACATCCTCACCTTAATCTGCTCCAGTAGGTAAATAAAATGTTTAAGATAACGTTACCTTGATTTGTTAGCTTCCGTTTCACTAATGGTGCGTTCGCTTTCTCCTCGGAACTCCGAATGTCCGACTAGAAGAACATGAACGCGCTCTAAAGTTTGGCTTTACTTTACTAAATGCGAAGGGTGATTGGATGAAGGTAAAACCAGTGACAACGATCTAAGTTTGAGGCATCATCGTTTTAATCTGCTCCAGCAGCTAAATAAACTGTTAAAGATAACGTTAGCTTGATATGTTAGCTTCCATTGCCACCGTTGTTATCAGCTAATGGTGCGTTCGCTTTCTCCTCGGAAATTCTAACTTCCCAGTAGGAAAAATCAAATGAAAAAGGACGGCAAAAGGAATGAAGATACACAGTAAATTTAGTTTACAGTAAAGATGTTTGCTTCAGTTTAATTATCAGCTTATAAAACTACAAGGACGATGTTAAAATACAAACTTGTATGTTATTGTGATGGACAGAAGACGGAAGCTGCCGAGCTCCGAGGGTGTGGTGATTGGACACCAGCTGGTCCTCGTTATGGATAACGAGGCCAGGGAGGATAAAAGGGTGACAGACCTACTGAGAGGTGTGCGTGGTCGACCTGTCATTGTGGCATTGGACTTTGGGGGGTGGGGTCGTTCGTAGTCGTTAGGGCTGCCGGCGACGAAGATAGCTAAGCAGGTGTTTAGAGTTCCAGCGTCAGGAGGGAAGGCTGGTCGCCTTCTTTAGGCAGCTATAGGGCTGGGCTTAGGTGGTGCCAAGACCACGCCGACATCTGCCGCTATGGACTCTGGCAGTGGATTTACTTGTGGATTTACCCGCCGTCCTCGCAAGCTACATCCCGGGGCGTTGGACGGTGCTGGAAGCTCAGACCCCGGGAAGGGGGGTCACCACATCTGAGACAGCTAAGTACCGCTGCTTGTGTGACTCATGCCAGACTGTGATTTTAGGAGGGGAGACTTTGGCCACAGTATTTTAGTATAGGTTTTATGATTGGGGTTGATTTGTGTGTTTTAGCAGATTGTATAATAAGGTATATCCTTTTATAAATCAGTGCCTACTGGTGGTGTGTTCAGGTTCTGACTGGAGGGCAAGATATTCTGCCCGTGCTGCCCACGGCTACTTTTATTACACTATTTATCGTGATATTTATCAAATATGGTTATATATTGAGAAAAATATATATTTAATTATAAAAGAGAATTAAAATAATAAACACTCAAAAGTATCGAAAATTGGTACCGTTAAGTACCGGTATCGACTCGTAGGTACCGGGAATTAGTACCGGATCGTTTCAAATGTCAAAGGTACCCATCCCTAGGGAAGAGAGAGGAGAGGTGGGAGAGCCGGGAGGGAGTTTAGCTTCCTAACTGCCTGATGGATAAAGCTGTCCTTCAGTCTGTTGGTCCTGGCCTTGAGACTCCGCAGTCTCCTCCCTGACGGCAGCAGCTCGAAGAGGCTTCGCATTGGGTGAGTGGGATCAGCTGCAATGCGAAGGGCCTTTTTTGTGAGGCGGGTGTTGTAAATGTCTAGTAGGGAGGGGAGAGAGACCCCGATGATCTTCTCTGCTGCTCTCACTTTACGTTGGAGGGTTTTAAGGCAGGATACGTTGCAGGCTCCGAACCACACAGTGATGCCGCACGACAGGATGTTCTCGATGGTGCCTCTGTAGAAAGTGTACAGGATGGGGGCTGGTGCTCTTGCTCTTCTTAGTTTGCGGAGGAAGAAGAGACGCTGCTGTGATTTCCTCGCCAATGCTATGGTGTTGTTCGTCCAGGAGAGGTCCTCTGTAATGTGCACACCAAGGAACTTGGTGCTGCTGACTCTCTCCACAGACACACCGTTGATGGTCAGAGTAGCATGCTGAGTGTGTGCTCTCCTGAGGTCCACAGCAATCTCCTTGGTCTTCTCCACATTTAGAGAGAAGTTGTTGTCAGCACACCATGTGGTAAGGCGGCTCACCTCGTTCCTGTAGTCGGTCTAAATCCCGTGGTTTATGAGACCCACCACTGTTGTGTCATCCGCAAACTTGATGAAGAGGTTAGAGCTGTGTAATGGTGTACAGTCGTGGGTCAGCAGAGTGAAGAGGAGGGGGCTCAGCACACATCCCTAGGGGGCCCCCGTGTTTGAAATGATGGTGCTGGATGTGTTTCTGCCGGCCCGTACTGCTTGTGGTCTTCCAGTGAGGAAGTCCAACAGCCAGTTACACAGTGAGGTGTTGAGACCCAGCTGAACCAGTTTTTGAGTAAGCTGTTGGGGGATGATGGTGTTGAATGCTGAACTAAAGTCTATGAACAGCATTCGGACATATGAGTCTTTTTTGTCCAGATGTGTGAGTGCTGAGTGGAGTGCAGTGGAGATGGCGTCATCGGTCGAGCGGTTGGGCCGGTATGCAAACTGGAAGGGGTCCAGGCAGGGGGGCAGAACAGACTTGATGTGTTGCATGACTAACCGTTCGAAGCACTTCATTAGGATGGGAATAAGTACAACAGGACGGTAGTCATTAAAGCAGGAGGGAGATGATGTTTTTGGGACCGGAATAATTGATG